CTATATTGTTTTGTCAGTTTCAGCGGATGAATTCTTAGGTTAGTGTTGTGGTTCACTTCCAGCAGCGGACGGCAAATGTGGTTTGAGTTCTTCAGAATCTGGTAAACCATTATGAGATCCCCCGCAAACGTCGATATCGACTGCCGTACATCCTTAGAGAGCAGATGAAAGAAGCCCCTAACGTTCTTGGTTTCCCTTCGTTGAGATGTCTCGAGAGCAACGAGATCCTGCTTCTTCCATGGCTGCCATACATAGCATATTCCATGTGTGGTCGCACGTAGGCGTTAAGCATTTGGGGGAAGACTGACAGTTCAAACCGTGGGGAAGGCCGAAGTGTTGATTGCCGGTTCTCGACGCCTCTGCTTGTTCTGAGCATCGGAAATCTTCCTGCACCAGTACACCCAGGTCACGCTCCTGAGACGCCTTCTGCAAGGTGTTATCTCTAAGCTTTTAAACGCTCACCGGCTGGTGACGCAGATGGATCACCTTGCGTTTAGTTATGTTCAGCTGAAACAGATGAAAAGCAGGTGCCCTCAGAGAGGATCGAACTCCCGAGCCGTTTACAAAACCAGTGCTCTGACCACAGAATTACCCCTTCTCCTTTAGTAAGCCTGTCCTTTCGTATGAGTGACATGCACGGCAGCTAGATTTCAGCGTCCATCATTTCAGTGTGCAACCATGTCTCCGTGACACCGATGTTATCACAAAACTTAGAAATTTGGCGATCCTTCAGTTCCGCCAGCTCATGGAAAAGATCTTGAGCATTGGTTTAAAGGTAGAATCGTTTCTCAGTCTCTAGGACACTGCATGGAGCTAAAGGAGTCAAATGTGGTGAGTCAAATGAGAAGTCGGTCGTTATTCATCTTTTTGATAGGATGATGTTGACACGTCGTTTTTACCTTGATTTGGCCAAGGTACGTCCTATTTCTCGTCCGGACATACTGCAGAATCGCGGGACCGAGTGGTAAAGTGATGCTCCTGCACAATCATCGGTAGGTTTGTTTTTCAGGTAGGCTCATGTCTTGTTTTCGCAAGGCTATAGCAGCTTTTAATCGAAGTTCAGATGAGAAGTCTTTCCTATTTCTTCGCCAACTTTCTACCACTTCTGTTGCTGTCTGGTATGACTGAACCTAGAGTTTTAGGATCCCTGGTCCGCTTCCTCTATAAGTTGATGAGATGGGTAATTTTTTGAGCGAATGCACTACAACGTTGTCCAAGGAAAGTGTTTCACGGATGAACCGCCACTGTTTCAAATCGTGATTACTGGCCTCATGACTATTGTTGGAAGGAATTTCTGGCACGCCATAAGTAAAGATAATGCTTAGGCAATCCAGCTTGCTGTGTTCTTCTATCGCGCGCTCCAAGGGACCTCAGGATAGATGCGTACCTTACAAGACCAGTGTTGTTGCGCACTTTCAGAGATTAAAACAATTTCTATATCAATGCGGATTCCAGTGTTACTGTAATAATTTTGGGTTTGCCATAGGGTTCAAAGTTCGGTGACGAGTAGCTCTCACTAGGTTTGTGGGTTCGGCTTTTACGTTCATCAAAATGTACAATATGTTCCACTGGTCTTGTTCGTCGGACAATTTACTGCTCAATGTGATGACGGTAGATTCGGGGACATTTGTGTACACGGCAGTCAGGGACTTGTTGTTGTTGGTGATCGTAGGTCATGGCTGTAGGCCATGTGATAATGGTCTACTCTTAGTCGCTCTCTTTGTGTTAGTGGTGTTTGCAACAGAGGTGCCATCAAATGTAGCTTTCAGGAAAACTTTTGCAGTGATTTCTGCACATGTGACTGAAGTCCAGGGGATTGGAACTCGACCAGAGACCCTTGAGTTGCAGATGCAGTAAACTCGGGCTCAGCTGAATTTGATCAGTTACACGTTTCGGGTGGCGCTTGCTTTTCGTGGTCCTGAGTACCGGTTGAGCATTGGAGCCACGGTCTGTTTTCGCCTGGCGTTCTTCCAAAATTAAAGGAAATAATTGTAATGGGGATCTTTTCGATCGTGGTTCAAGCCAAGCAACTTTTGCACCATTGCTTCTCTTAGAGATCACTGTGTTGTCCTGGTGCATACTCGCTTCCAGTGCTATACTCTTAGCGTTCATCCGCTGTTCTATTTCTTCTGTTAACCGGTCGCACTTTTGGACTAAGAGTAGTATGCATTTGACTTATGGGATGGTCGAACACGCAGCACAAAACCAGCGATCGTCTCGGGAGATGTTACGATCTCTCAGGTGTTGTTGGGAAAGGTTTGCGCATTTTGCACGGGACCAACCGAAACAGTGTGAGCAGGCTAAACTTAATCTGACCAATCGGTTACACTCTGGACCCACATTTGCCCTTCCATTGGAGCCCTTTTGGATTCGCATCTACTTGCTTCCTGCTATTCGGCATGGTGTGGTTACCTTACATAGTGAGCTACTTGACGTTGCGTACTTTTCCGACTGGTCGGTTGCGCACTCCAGTCAGACGGATGGATGCGGCCATTTCGCTTCTGGGTAATACACTGCCCTGCGAGATGAGAGGGAGCGCGATAAAACCGACATGTCCTTACTAGAAACGGCCACACTGCACGGCGGTTTCAGTTCACACGCTGGTTCAAACGCCGCACGGTCAGATGACTGCCGGTGTGAGTTGTAATCCTGCTTGCTGGCTGGAACATTGTTCGTGACAGGGAGGCGCAGTTGATACGACTGCAGGTTATCTCGATCGCTGTCTACCGATAAAATTGGTCAGCCGATGCGGTCGGCTAACTGACAAATCTCCTCCAAAACCGGTAAGACGATTTAGGTGATAAGGCGATGGAATAATTTCTACGCTTGGCGATCCAGTGGATAAAGCTGGTACTTCCGAGTCTGATTTTTGGAATTTGGGTGGTGCGTGATGAAATGCGTGAAGTAAGATCCAATACGAGGCGGATAAGAGTGTGAATGAAAGATATTGCACAGTTTTTACAAAAACTGATAGATATCCTTATAAGTTTTCTTCCCGTGCCGGAAAGAGCACACAAAAAGGAATTGAATTAGAACTGGTAATCCACAGTGCGTTATGATTGCACGTACTCAATTTACGCGTTCTAGCGGCTGCATTAAAAGGGCAGAATGTTGTTGCTATGATTATCGCGTTTAATACGGAAGCAAGAAAGACAGCTGGATCTGCAGCACCAATAGAAATGGTGATGGGCGTTTTAAGTAGTCAGCTAAGCAAGTAAAAGTGATTTGTCTACTCTGGGTTTTGTTCATGCTACGTATTTCTCTAGAGCCCTAGTCAAGTGAGACTATGTGTGGTCTGTCCAACCGAGGATAGTATGCGAATTGATGGGGTAGTCGCTACCCATGCAGGCGATATTTAAATCACTGACCACTAGGTTATTTACTGTTTGTTTGTCATGCTTTTCGCGCTCGGTTCCACGTGACTCACCGTGTACTTGGCTGCAGACCTTAAAAGATGTGACTCGCAACATGCACCAGCAGCGCGTTTTCAGTCGTCTCCAACCGGCATACCTACTCTTTTCTAGTATGATAATGAGCTATCTGTAGAGTAAGGCTGATCATACCGCATGTCAGTGGAAACGGATGTGGGTTATCTAGTCAGCGCTGCGCTGCGCTCATACGATAGAAAAACGTATGGCCGTGGGTGGTTGCAAAATCTGACTTACTTTTCACCTGCATAGTCTGCTTCGAACATCTTTAAATCACATGCAAGATGGGTCCCCGATCTTAATCCACAGTTGTATGTTAGCTACGTATTTGTTAACTGACATACGTACATCCATAGATGCAGTTGCTAACGTCAGCTGGAAGCACTGTCTACATTATGTTTGCCCGTACGGAGCCGTTTTCCACATGAGAGGCTCTTTTGATGCACAAGGATCTGATGTTTACTGAACATTGAACTACTAATATCCCTCATATGTCTTTTAGTTATAAAGTCATCGGATGCAACACAAATGCGCTTTTGATGCCGGGTATCGAAGGCGGTACTTCCGTGACTTACGTTGGTACCTTAATTAAACTCTTCGGTTACAACTGAATACTGGGTGTTGGGTGCTATTTCAATTGCGGTCTTAGTGATTGAACTGCATTTTGTGGTCCACAGTGAGATTGCGCGGCGCAATACATTCATACGCCGAGTGCTTCAAAATGACCTTCCACCCAGTCGACTAGTTTCGTAGCGGCTCAAATGTCATTGAAATATCTTGATATCTCAGGACGCCTGCTTGGTCTTGCAATAATACTGGTGATTTCTCGCACACTGACTGGGATCAATTTTGCCCGTCAATGCAGACCTGCTATGCATATGCAACCAGTGGGAGTAGCGTGTGCATGGGTACAGTTGATGTGCCGTTCGTAAGGCATGATGCTTGTATTTTGAGCTCATTTTGTTAGTTTAGTTGTTGGGCAATTGACACTTCCTACTAGCCCTTCATTTCCTTTATGGCTGTTTTAAATGAGTGGAGGGGTAGCGCAGTACGTCCTTAAGCGCTCGGTGCGTTTCAGTTTTCGAGTCCACTTGAGAGACTGTGATCAATCGAAAAGCTAAATGAGAGCAATTAGGTAAGACACTTGCAAATAGATACTTCGTTATCACGCCTCCTAATATGTATATTCCCTAAAACGAACTGGCCGTTATCAATAGTAGATCCAGCTACCATGACATCATTTTCAACATAATGTGAATTTCCAGCTTGTACGGAGTGCATGGGTCGTAGTGCAATGAAACACAGCAAATTCAACGGAAGAGTAGAATGAGAGGTCACCTTTCTACCATCGAGATTTTTAATTATTTGATAAAAAAACAACTTGCGACTTCTTTTAGAACACATGAATGCCCGGGGGTTTTCCAAGTGCGTTTAAGGTCAGCTAAAAAGCAGGGTTAAACTTTGCTACTGAAATATTCATGCTGCTAGTGTTTGCTGCCTTAGAACATCCTCTATTTATTTCCAACTAACTGGTAATTGCTGGTTTCAGGAGCTATGCTTGTCTTTCCGCAGCTTCTATAATTGGGAAACTCAGAAGGTTATCGCAACTTCCTCATCAAACTACACTGTACTTGCGGAGAACCCTGCTGGTTTGTTGTTCAAAAACAAGAGAGATCGAAAAGTTATCAATGTGGACCCTACAGTGAGTTTTCGATTCTGTCTCTCACGCTAGGGAAAATACAAACTTACCGATAGAAACGGCACTGGGGCGCTTTGTTCGATGGGTCACGTTGTTTCACAATTGCATTATTGCTATTACTGTCCCGAGAACTCTGAGCTTCGCACTAAGTTGCTGACCAACTGGTAGGCAGTTTTATCCCTTTAAGAGCTCTGAAAGTGTTCCCATAATTCCGGTAAGGTAATAGCTTCTTTCACACTGCCACCATGCAGGGCAGATGAACGATGATATTTGTGATAACGGATTTCTTCGCAACAAGACTAGGCCTTGACGTGGTGCGGCGGTTCCCACACCTCCCCAATCCATTATGTTGTATTGAGTAGGACCTTCATATACATTTAAAGCCAACCCACCGCGTTGGTCAATGGCCAGAGTTCGGATGAATTCAGTACCCTTATTATCCAGATTGTAAGCTGTAGCCGTAGCGTCACCCATTTCTGTGAAAATGATTGATCGTATCGACGATTGCCATACTCCCACCACCTTTTAGATGGGGTTTTGAGCCAAACGCTTAGACGCAGATCCTGTTTGGTATCTTCCGGTATCCCTGCATACATTTCCATCCATCTCTAGCCAAATTTTGCATTCGCTTCACTTTCGTACGCTTAATCTTATTTGCCGCATTTGGCAGGACGGAGAAGCGTAAACAGAGTGCTGCCGAAACCAACATTACTTCTGTCCCATTGATTGTTATTGCGGCCATCTCAGTCCTAAGTTTTGCCTAGTATTTTCTCCAGCGTAAGTGATAGCTCCCGAAGTTCCATCGAAGACCTGCGGTCTGCATTTATCACCACATATTGCCAAATATTGTCTTGAAATCGGCAGCTTCTCACCAGACCACGCCATCATATGTTGGTGACGGCGCTTAGTACCTATAATTCACAACGAGAGCAAAACAGCTGCACTTGCGCGCATATTGAACACGTTAGGAGATTACGTGTGCTGTGTCCGAATTTAAGATTCACATCTATCATACACTCATCTAGCTACCAATGCCTAATCGACCCTCTGGTTTTTGGCTTAAAGCCTCTGGGGATGCTGATGCAGAAGGCATAGATCAAAATGTAGTGATAATGATTCCAAACTCATCATTGACTGACTGGAACTCCATAAAACTCCATCTCTGGGCAGGTCGTGCAATGATGCCAAGACTAGCGCATAGTAAGGCGTTAACTGCTGTTCCGTCGTAGTTGCTGAGTATGTCGCGAATCGCTGCAGCCTTAAGGTTCTCAGAAACACCCTTTACAATGGACATGATATAAAACCCCACGGCACGGTTAAGTCAATCGTAGTTCTAGTTGCTGTGGATATACAGGTGTAAACAGACCATTCACTCCCTTCGAATGTCTCCCAGTTGCAGCTTGATTTCGGGTCCACAGAAGATCGTATTCACTTACTGCTGCCAAATAGCACTATCTTCGGCCAAGTGGGCCCCGATATGCTGCTTGGTGTCTCCAGCGGCTGAAAAGTGACGGACTCGAATTGACGATACTGGCACAAGCTTCAGGTGATGTAGCTCCTTTCTTGATTCGGACCCATGACCTTACTCTTCCAGGACATTGAACCATAAGTGCGTGGCGAACCGCCATGACTGATATCTAACTGCAGTATAGCGCAGTTCATCCTGTATTGTCATGTATGTTATGAGTGTGTAGAGGATACGGTTGGCCATCAGAGCAACGACTGCTTTTGCAAGCAGTTAGACATCAGGCATGGCGGCCCACCACGATCACCAATGACTCAGCTGCATAAGTCACTGACTTGTAATAGTAAATGCATGGGTTCAAATCAGGCGGGCGTCCGCTACTGACGACTCTCAATAGGACGAAACGGCTGTCTAGGACTTCCATGGATATGTGGTGGCTGTCTGCCTAAGTATAGCTGTAACAAATCTTCCCAAATATGTGTATGATCAGTTGGTGTGTTGGAATCAGGAAATCAATTTCCACCCGGGTTTTGAACGAGACGAGCAGATAAACTGTAAGGAAGGATCTGCAACGTTAGTTGGCAACAAAATTTAGTAGACGCAGAATGCTCAGGAAATATGGGATACAGGATGGGCGAATGACCTCCGTAGATGCTTCTAACTCATCCACACCATTGGTCCAAAAAACTCATACATCAGTGGGCTGTCCGTCATGGTTGGTTGGTTTAGTTCCAAATTCTACAGCCCCTGCTCGCTCCTATTATGGGCTTCAGATTCCATGTAGTATCAATACCCAAGCACATCACCTAGCGGTCGCATTGCATTAAAACATTTGTACTGTAGAACTGGAATACTGCTCACCTTTTGTACTCAGTACGCCGGCGTCGCACTTTCCCATTTATGAGCCACTCCGCGTTCAAGCGGTGCAGGTTGGACCGCCCACTGTTAACATAGAGGCTTCAACTTAATCTGAAGCCAGGAAGGCTGTTACGTTATACAGCCACCATCTCTGTTGTTCTGTTCTATCTTTTGGCCTGATAGTGAGGTCAGTTTGCGTTCATTTGAAACATTTGTTTCGTAAATGGATTGAGACGTGCATTCTCAAGTTAAACTGCGGTTTAATTTAAAGTGAATCTGCGTCAATGGATATTGTGTATCATCATCAATACACGTTAGCTGAGGGTGAAAAACTGGCCTCAGCTAATGTTCCGCAATACAAAAAGGCAAGATACAAAACAACTGCATTGCAGAAAAATTCAAAAGCAGCTATAATGTTAAATATTATGTAATTCGTATGAGGTCGGAATTATAGGAGGACTCTAAAAGGGAGGGAGATGGACAAAAAGACTCGCAGCACAAACGCCACTGGGGCCGGCTCTTCGCCATGTCAGCAAGTGTGTCCAATCAAACGTGTCCATCGTCCTTAGGACCCCAGGCAAGCACTCGGGATGCACCAACTGACGGTAGTTTCGAAGTGAATATTTTCATTTCTCTCGATCAAGTCATCGCTTGGCCTTCCCTCCTCCTCTTACAACCGCAACCCCGGTGCGCAAACAAAGCGTATCACGGAAGTCGGTGTGCCGACATGTGCAACACGTGGCCCAGCCATCGGAGCCTGGTGCTGAGCGATTCACTACCTCTTCTTGCAACAAATACGCGATGCAGAACATGTTTATTGCTCACGTGGTGCTCCCGAATAATGTACAGGACACCTGTTTTATGATCCGGGTTTACCATTATTCATCTGCACCCCCAGATAAGGTGTTTTGCGAAACTAATGGAGGTTTTCGTCTCAGTGCCGTCAAAATATTTACGGAGGGAATTGATTCATTGATTTAGATAAGTATGGACCACACCGATTGCGTATTTAAATGTTGGCATTCACAGTTTATCTCAAGCGATTTACTGTAGCCTTCGTTTCCGATGTACAGCTTGTCTTTGCTTCAAGTGTATCACACCAGCGACGTGCTTGACCTCCGTGCAGGGGTATGTTATATTCGCCATTGTGAACATCTCCAAGGCTTGGATTTGATCGGGCTGGTTCAAACGCTCAACGCACGGTCCATAATTTGTACATCTGCCCAACCCCATTGCTAGTGAAAGGTCAGATGCATTCAGTCCACTAAGCTTTGTGGTACTCCGTAGCAGGTGTATAGTTTAATTCTACTCAAGGTCACTTAATTCCAGAGGCGCCTCTATGAGCAGTTGACGCCTGGCTGATAACATAAATATAAAAACCAACAACCTCACTATTTGCTCGGTTTCCTCCGGCAAAAGCTAAATCCACTGTTCTGTTAGTTGCGGTCATATCATCTGGTTGTGGCTACCGGTCAAGGAGATGGACTTAGGCTGTCTGATCATCGTCCACCGTGTGGAAGACAAACGTTGAGGTGACATTAAAACAACGAAAGAATACCCTTACACAGGCTGTCGCTGTCTCATTCGGATATTTTCGCAATGTCCCCTCCATAATCTGATTTGCTCCGTCTGAGTTCGTTGTGAAGCAGCTAAGCTTGTTCCTCTTGCCTCAAGTAGATCTCATCCTTTTCATCCGTCATGAACTTCCTAGTACCTCTTATCACCCTTGCTTTGGGGATCCCACCAAAGCAAAAGAACAACAAGGTAATGAAAAATTAAACCAGCTGGATCTGTTGGCCCCTTTTCGTATGCGTAATTTTCGCAATGTTTCGTTCTGGGCGCTGGATGTTTCACACCGTGTAGTCTTAGCACACCGCAGAGCTTACTTCGTTTGGTACTGGGTACTTGGTCGACTCTTTTGTGCTTTGTTGCTGTACGGTGCATGTGCATTATATCTGCTTGCTTGATTTCGTTGCCAAGACGCTTACTCAAATACCATGCAATCTGTAACTAACCTTTATTTTAGGCCCCCACACCCGGAGACAATTCTATGCGAACAGTGATAACAACTGAACGATATCTGCAAGCGGTCATCTATGATCACATAACCCGAAGAAAAACCTGAAGGCCGATATTGCATGGAAAGTAAACGTACAGATGAATGCGTATGCATGTACGTATGCACACAGTGTCTAATGGAAATGCAGCAAGTTCCTTAATCACCGTTTTTGTGCGTAATCAATGCAATATACATCCTCCTATGCACATACTGACGTCGAGTCACACTACTCACATGGAGGTACTCTGATATGGTTTACATCCACCACTTTGAAAGTAGGTTAGAAGAATTGGTCATAGTTCATCCCTACCCAGGATTAGGTTGGGACAAGTGGCACCATCCCCGTGAAAAAGTCGATCTTCACTTATCACTACAGCGTCTCGTTCCGTAAATAAATGTACTAAATGAATTAGCATAATTGCCGACAAGTTGTATGAGACCCCTAAGGAGCACCTTCACCTTGCGCCCATTCTAACGTGTTTCGTTGCAGAACATCCGGTCAACAAACGTCTTTGACCGCAATCCACTCCCGCATTGAGTCATTTTTAAGGACAACTCTGTATGTCGCGTACTACAAATGCTTTACAGATGTACAAACATCATACCTCCTAATTTTCGCAAATTACTCGGAGCAAAGAGGCTATTTGCTTGCATTTGAGGCTTTGATTTCTTAACCGTCTAGAGCTGAAAACGGTAATTTCCCGATACCACGAATGCGCATATTAGACGCACCATTAGTCACTCATATGCTGCTCAGACTGGAATCCTCATTAGATTTGCACTGTATAGGCAACGTGAATCCCTTCACAGTGGAGTGTAATTGGACAGGTAACAGACCTACCGTTCTTCCGAATCGTTTCTGACAGCTCTCAATCCGTTTGTTTGTAGTAGACGATTGAATGTGGTAGACAGGATCAACGTCCCGTGCACTATACTTTATGTGCCCGAGCCGGTACATTTTCAGCATTTTAAACTACTGCTACAGTTGTAAAATGGCATGACGTCAATACAGTATTACAAGCGAAGGGCGAAAAGTCAAATATTGAGGTGCGTCCCTCAGGTGAAAGGTTACGTACGGTAGTGACGACTTTCCTTGAGCCCACAAGATGATGGGATAAATATAATAACTTGGTTATAATAAGATGCCGTGCGAGAAAACAAAATCCTAAGCTTTGAACGCGTAGACAAAGAGGAAAAAAACTGGGTAAATCTTCGCGCAGAGGGTGAAATGATTATTTAAACCTTTGATGTCGTCAAACGCACCCATCATGCTCAGTAGCACTGAAGTCTGTGGGAGACTCTGGGCGGTCCACTACACATTGCATACTGGAACACATAATAAATGTAAAATCCTTCTGAGAATGTATGGAAAAATGGAGGGTCTGCAATACGTCCAGTGAGGAAGAACACAGACACTCACCAGCTTATAATCTGAAGAATAATATATTGTAAGAATATTGATTCGCAGGGCATAAGATTAAAGTTTGGCCAAAGTGCGTTTGTCAAGACCGATTAGATATAAAAATGCGCCGATATGCTTGACAGTGTGTGAACTGTATATGATGTGGTCATTCACGATCAGGTGGCGGATAGTATCTGTCAAGTCCGGTTTTTCGTGTGGATGTGAGAGAATGTCATGTCGTGACACTTAGAATGATGGGACGCAAAGGATCGAGACGTAGATGACCGCTCAAGCTCATCCATCCCGCTTTAGAACGCCGAAGATGAATATTGCTCAAAGCAAAGTCGTCAGCGTATTTGCATCCAGTAAAATCAGTGGGAATCTGAAGCCCTTCTATGTGTAAGCGAAGCAAAAGTGGAGACATGACTGCCCCCTGTAAAACTCCCAGATATCACGACAAGTGCAGTACATTTTATCATTCAACTGGGTTAAATGAGTGATTTCTGAAATATTTGCTTACCAGAGCGCATACCAATTTCCGACGTTCCTGGCGCCAAGGAGCCACCTGGCGACCGCCGGCGCCTGGTCAACCTTGGACGCAGATTAACCACTTCTCTATTAGTTACCGTTGGCGAGGTTGCATAACGGACTGCAAGTCAATTTGGAACAATTACCTGACTTCGGATCCTGCGCTCGTGTGTGCTAAATTCGTTCTGCGTACTGGATGTACCCAACAGTGTCGCCGGAAACGGCCTGACATAGACAAGCTCGCTGCCCCTAATGTTCTCGGCGCATTTCAGAACACATTAGTCTCCAATATGCGTCCTCTATCTTCCGATGTTGGGACACACGGCGCCGATCCAGAGCGCCTTACGAAAGTTCGCTACCCTGGTCTGTGGCTTCACTATACAAACTGCTAGTCATTGGATCTCTGCACAGTTTCTCCAATTAATGAAAAGTCGTCGAACAACTCTCGCTAGTGTTCATTACAAAACACTACGATGAACCACAGGTGCTGAGCTCAGACAACTCCTCAGAAAGGATCGCGAGGTTTGGTGGACACAGCGCGTTGATGGGATGGAGCGGGTAATCTCATCAGGAAACTCCCGCAAACTCTTCTAACTTATTCGCTCCACGGGATGCAGAAGATCAACGGTGAGTGAAGTTCTGGGTGAAAATGACGGCGAACTAATTCACAGTCGTCACCGTCATCTGGTACGATGGGCAGAGCACTGGGGTTCACATTGCTCCTGGTGCGTGGATATTTCACCACCGATCGAGGCTGAAGTTTCCCATGAGCTTCGCCCACTGAAGCGGCACAAGTCACCTGGCCCAAATAAACTTCCTCCTGCCCTCTTCAAATATGGTGGCCCTGCTCTCACTCGCGAACTGACATCTCACTTCCATCAGATTTGGACAACTGAAACCATTCCATCCAACCGGAATTTAGCGGATGTTGTGGCTGTTTACAAGAAAGGAGACCGGACCACTTGCTGCAACCATGGTGGTATCAGTCTCATTTGTGTCACATCCAAACTTCTCGCTGCCCCACTCTTGCGGAGGCTCAGCTGCGTACGGGAACAGCAAGCTGGATTTCGCCCGGGTCACGGTTGCGTCCATCACATCTTTACGATCCGCTAAATACTTGAACATCGCCATGCATTCAGTCGACAAACTATAGTCATATTTTGGGACATCTGAGCCGCGTTTGACTCTGTTGACAGGGTAGCTCTTTGGGATTGCTTACTGAAGAGGGGAGTACCTGAGAAGTACATTAGCACTCTCCGTGCCATTTTCCATCAAACTTCGGGCCGCATGTGAGTATACAGAAACATTACGCCCCCTTTCAGTATCACTAGCAGTGTAAGACAGGGTTGGTCAGCCCATCGGTGCCTTCGCAGTTTGGCTCACATCTGGTGGGTACACCGCGTGAATAACGAGCGTGTTCGACGCCTTGTTTACGACCCAGGAAAAGGGAATGAACCGCTCACCACCGTTATTTCATGCACCAGGCTCCGATGGTTGGGCCACGTGTTGCGCATGCCAGCCCACCGACTCCCTCGACGTGCGTTGTTTGCTCACCGGGGATGTGGGTGGAAGAAGAGGAGGGGTGGCCAAGCGATGACTTGGTCCAGAGGAATGAAGTCCCTCACTTCGGAGCTAGCCTCGGTTGGAGCGTCACGGCTCCCTGGTTGGGGTCCAAAAGACGGTGAACACGTTTGGCTGGATACACTTGCTGACATGGCAAGGAGCCGACCTCAGTGGCGTTCCTGCTGTGAGTTTCTTTGTCCCTCCCCATCCCTTTTAGTCTCCCCCTCCATCTACGATCTCATTTCGTAGAGTAAAACATAATAAAAAATTGTTCTTTTTGCCTAGTAGCTGGCTGGTAGCTTACCGGAACGATGCCTATCCGTTGCTGGTAGCTCAGCTGGCATGCAATTTTCACATTTATTATCCTTTATGTATTGTATGTATGTATGTATGTATTTCCTTTATGTATTGCGGTATAATAGCTGAGGTGTTTTACCACCTCTAGCTGACATGTATAATGATGATGATGATGGTGGTCAGCCTCTCTTCTTGTTCAACTTCGTCATGAACGAGATCCTGGGTACTGCCCTGGATAACTCTGAGTCCTGCGGTGTTGAACTGCTCCCTGGTGACCGCCTTCGGGACTTAGAGTACACCGATGACATCGGTGTGATTTACGAATCCTCCCAAGCCGCCCAGCATGTGCTGCTCAGACTGGAGATGTCCGCCTCCCAGTTTGGGTTGAGCTTTGCACCTTCCAAATGTAAGATCCTATTACAGGACTGGCCAAGTGAATGTCCTCTCACCCTTTCGGGGCATTCGCTGGAAGTGGACAACGAATTCATTTATCTTGGGAGTTGTCTTAGTATTGACGGTTTGACAGATGAGATCTCCCTGCGTGTCTTCAAGGCTAGAGTCGCTTTCGCCAACCTTCGTCACCTGTGGCTTTGTTGTGACCTCAGCCTCGCTCTCAAAGGACGAGTCTACAATGCTACGGTATGAGCGATTCTGCTGTACGGCTATGAGTCTTGGCCCCTTCGCAAAAGCGATGTTCAACGGCTATCTGTCTTCGGTCATCGCTGCGTGTGAAGCATTGCTGGTGTTCGATGGCAGCCTCACATCAGTAATAAGGAAGTCTGTCGACCAGTCTTCAGATCTAAGGAACTCCACCGACCGATTGATAACATCATTGCACTGCGGAGGCTTCGCTGGCTTGGGCATGTGCTCCGCATGCCTACCCAGCGGCTACCACGACCAGACGTATTTGCGAGTACACGCGTGGGTTTGGAGCGACGAAAAGGGGGACAATTTAAAACGGATACAACGCGTTAAGGCGCAAAAGTTTAAGCCGGCTGTTGTTGAGGGTTCCCGACTCTTGGGTTGGGGACCAAAGGACCCAGGGCACATCTGGTTGCAAACGCTAGAGGATATGGCCACGGACCGTACGCAACGGTGCACTTGCTGTGAGACTTTTCTACCCTAAAAGTTGTTTTCCATTTCAATCTACCTTTTTCCTCTTATGTGTTGTGACACACAACCAATTGTATTGCAACTGGTAAAGTGTTTTATATATATATATATATATATATATATATATATATATATATATATATATATATATACCATTGCTTAAGCACCAGTGACGGACAGCAGACTGAACAGAACGAAACTCGCAACACTATATCCGCCCTAACAGTTCCTAAATGCTATGTCATACGTAGCTACTGTCAGTGGACGTTGTCATTCGGGGCCAATCATGTCCACTACAACGTTCCTACCTTGCGTGGTAGTGTAGTATAAGACGCGCTATATCGCAGTTGGCTTGTAAATCACGACGGTTCGAAGCTATCCGCCGTGACCCAGTGGCATAAGCTGCTGACTGGCGGTCCAAGTCGTTGGTGGTCATTGGTTCGAATCCTGATGGATCCAAAGGATGCGCACTACTGATGACGCCTAACAGGCTGGAACTGCAGCCTATTGCTTCTCCGAACATGTGGACAACTATCTGATTTGGAGAGAGCAAGAACGAACAGCATCTCTGCGGGATAACCTGAATTCAGATTATTTCGTGTCTTCCCATTCAGCTGCTTACAGACAAATCGTGGAAAGCGTAAAGGAATGCAATTGAAAAAGGGTGTCAATAGGAAAATTAATAAAACACTGAGCAAACCAAGGT